CGTGCGGGTAGTTAGTAATTCTTGTTCATAAGAATTTTGTATTATGACAATTCAGATATTTAAAATTACGTGTCAAGATAGCTCTTTTAAGGACAAGTTTTTAACGGTTCGTGATCTGGTATTTTTTAAATCTTTTTTAAAAGCTGTCTACGTTTTTAAAAGAACGGTTTCGCAGTAAAAATCAATACCATTCTGGCATTGACTTCTGGCTATTTACTTGCGGACTGCTGTAAATAATTCCACTTCTGTGTGGTTCTACCATCGGACATATAAACTTATTCACGGGGCAAGCGCGAAGGCTCGATCAAATCACAATGCCGTCGAAAGGCTGCAAATGTACTTACACGTATCCTCGACCTTGTTTCGCTTACGTTACATAATTACACTCAAGTTAATTGCATCGCAGTAATTTCATATTACACTTTGCGCGTAAAATCAATTGTACAGCGACATTATAGGCCCTATTGGCAGTCATTTCTGAGCTGAGCGAGTTTCAAATATTAATTAACTTGTTACAAATTTTATTTGTTCATATTAATAATATAATTCTGTTCATATTAATTTAAATGTAGGTGAATGGAAATACTGTTCACATTTTAAAAATGTGAGTTAATAAGTTGTTTATTACTTTTATTTCAATGTGTAATTAGAGATAGACTAAAAAAAGAAATACACAAAATACATAATGTTTATTCTTCAACAAAAGATACAGAACAAATTAGTGGTAAGGGTACCCACTCCTTTTAAGTATATCCTGTGTCAGAAGACCCCGCTCTTCTTCTAGATTTTACAAGAATGTTAAAGTAAAATATTTAAAAAAATGGAATTCTATTTAAAAAAGTATGAATGTGTATGTGTGTTTGTCTGCGCGCGTGGGTGTGTGCGTATGTGTGCATATACATTTACACGTATGCGTGTGCGTGCGTATATATTTATTATAACTCATCCATGACATATTGATGCGTAGATGTAAATTTCTGTCACGTTATAGTTTGTATTAGACCTTATCTACATCACTGTTTTGTGTTTTGAGCCATGCGTTCGGGGCACTCTTACATTCGTATAAATTCATAGGGTAAGTGTCTAGTTTTTGTTACAAACATGTAAATAATAATGTTATTTACGTGTTTTTGGAACAAAAACCTTTATTAACCTTGCGTTAATAAAGGTGTTGTTTCGATATCTGTTGCGAAGTGTAGGGTGAAAAGTAGAATAAGCGCTTTAAATTTAATAATTATGATCTTATTGTATCTTCTGATTATGATCTCTATGTTTAAGTTCATCCTGTCACCTCAAGATTACTTGAAACTTATTGCTATCTTGGAATAAGGTTGCTTATTGTCTTTTATTTGTTTACATATTTGTTCAGTGTTCAATAAAGAGGAATTTGTATTGTATATGTATATTTAACAAAGGACGCGTGCTTTTAAATATAATAGTAGAATAAACGTACAGAGTTGTCACGTAAGTAATAATAAAAATAAATTAGTCTCACAGTTAAAAAGCATCTTTCTTAATATATAAGCCAAGAGGTCTGCCGCCGTAAGGTGAAAGGGCGCATGTGACACTTTTTCAAAAAATTAGTTACATGTACTGCCGTGATCAGCAAAAAAGACAGATCTGCCACAATTTTTTTTTTCTATGTGGTTTAGGTATGAAGTTACCGTAAGAGAAAAGGGCGTAAGTACCCACACTTTTATGGTCAAACTAAGTTAATTCGCATTTAGAAAATAAATTGGTAAAAAGGCGTAATTGCCTAGACATAATTTTGTTTTAACTACACATTTCAATCACTTAAGTAAATGAAAAGGCGCAAGTCACATTTAAGTTTCTATCTTCATCAGTTAAAGCTGTACATATATATATTTACCGAAAAATGTTAATTTCCCAGATGACAGTTACACAATGCTTACATAAATTTAAAATAAAGTGAAAATGTTACCTCTTATTTAATGTAATAAAAATTTTTAAAATGTTAAGCTACGCCACATTGAAAAGACATTGTAACTATATGCTGCCCTTTTGACTTATTATTACAACAATAGTGTTGTAATTATGTTAAGCTGAACAGGCATAGTGGTAACTTGCGCCTATGTTACCCAGTATTGAATATTTTACGAACACTTTGTTACTAAGTTGAAACGGAAAAAGTGTAATAATGACATAATGAAGCATAATAATAAAATATGTTAAATGCCACATTTTGCGTATAATATAGGTTTATCCTACTGCGTTTGCAGAGAGTGTCTACATTTTTTCGTTTGGAAACAGCATATATTTTTTCGGTCAATTTCTTTAAACTTTATTTTCTCGGTTTTGAGTTTTACTCACAAGCACCTTTTTAACTAAGGGCGGCAGAGGTGTAAAAACGAGGTCTGGTAATATAGGCTCTTCCATAGGCCAAGATGTCACACAAATTTGAGGCTACATTGTTTCTTACCACGAGCAACAATACTGTATAAGGAGTATCAGAGTGAAATTGATCTAAATTTTAATTTTACTTTCGTTTCTATGCTAAAGAAAGTGATGTGAGAATTTTAAAGTTAAGTTTATAATTATTGTACTTTTCTATAATCATGCCTAACTTAATATTATTGTATTTCTTTTAGTGCATGCTGTGCCCTCCTTTAAGTAATGCGACACTTAGTTTAAAACCATAGTCTCTACTCTATATACCTGCATAGTTATAGTGTACTTTTTGTTGTGAGAGCCTCTTTAAATAAATAAATAAATAAAAACAACATTTCAAAGACTGGCCTATAATTTAAAAAAAAAGAACTATTCAGTTTTAGCAGCTTGATACTTATTACTTTATCCGATTCTGAAACTGGCCTTAGAAAGTGTTATTTTCTAAAAATTTTATACGAAACGAATGCGATTATGTGTTATATCAAAGTTTCACCCACGATTTTAACATTTAGGAAATTCAATCAATTACAAAACAGCTTTATCAGTGTCAAGCAACGTGGTTTTAGTAACAAGACAAGACAAATAATTGATTAATTCCTTACTAATCGTTGAAGGAAACCGGAAAGAAACTTGAGTTAACGATCTTGAATCACGAGTCACGACAGATCGACGGCCGGTATAGATCACGCAATGGATCTACCACTTGAATTGCAGCGTGCGCGTACGCCCTTCTAAACCTCACGTACTGCCGCGACTGATTCTGGTGAGCTTAAAACACGAAATGTTACGCAAAAAAATCATATCACAATGCTAAGTTATTATTATTATTATTATTATTATTAAGTGATATGATTTTTTTATGATGCTAACTGCTGGGGCGAACAAGTCGTGCGCCTCATGGTAAGCTACACGACTGTCCATAACAGTTGCAGTGCCACTCAGGGCTTTAAATCGCACAGATCTGAGGTGCACTGCCTCTGCGCCCATCACCCTGAGACATAAGTTGAAAAGGTACATGAGGCCCCTTACCCTTCAAAACCGGAGCGCAGTAATGCTCACATTACTGCTTGGCGGCAGAAATAAGTAAGGTGGCAGTATTTCCCTGGATGAACTCTTTCACAAGGAGCTCTACTGCTACTAACAGATATATAGACAGACAGATATATAGATATATAGACTGGTATAAAACTTTATTTTGATGCTAGGCAGTTTTCCCTGACTTCAGTAGAACTCTACCTACATACATTTTCCATGAACATATGTATGTCTCATTGTTACAAGTAGTATGTGATTGATAATTCTCAAATGTGAAATTAGCCGTTTTTGCAGATGATACCTACTCTGTCATAATAGCTGATTTAGTAAGCCTCGAGCTCAAAACTAACAAAGTCCTCTCAACCTTTGACTTTTGGTTCAAAAATAACAACCTCATCATCAATACGAGGAAGACAAACGTCTAATTGTTCCGAACAACACCTAGAAACCCACGAAGGTATAGACATCAATCACATACATATAAAATAAGTAATAATAGAATCGGTAGAATCTGTAAGGCGCTTGACGTATTTAAATGTGTTAAGGATATCTGATTTGACATTGTATTTATTCATTGTTATTATTGTATTATTTTTAATATTCTGTATTATGTTCGGTCTCATATTTGAATTTGATATAAGTTCTTTATTTATATTTTTGTCCTAACACAATCACCATCGTTAAGGAAATAAATAAAAATAAATAAATAGATATTATCTACAGCTCTGAAAATATTTTTTTTTAGTCGTTCTTTGAATATTTAGAAAAAAAAACTTATAATATACACGTTTTTGAGTTTATATTTAGATGCTTTTGGAAAGGGAAGCTAGTTATAACAGATCGGAGAGGACCGATATGTCCCAACAAAATATTTTCCAATATAATGGATTGACCAAAAAGTCTGCGATGTTTTGCCCCTAGCTAACTTTAGACAAAAAAAATAACATTTTTTATTTTAAAATGGTCTATTGTTTGTGGTCCTTTCAAGAGTAGGCGGGAACGTTCATAGGGTCGTATTCTAGAACTCTACTCAATGCTCAAGTCAGGATTTGAGTATGGTTTAAAGCACTCGAAATCATACTCAAGTCCCTGCCATTAGGGTCGTATTTCCAGTGCAATCCTGACTTGAGCATTAAGTAGAGTTCTAGAATACGACCCTAAGTGTATTATAATTCATTGAAAACACCGCAAAGTGGTGAATCGAAAAGGTGTTTTATTTTATCTATTATATATATTTCAAGTTACGTTTTGTTAGTACAATGACGAAGCTATGTGTATCAAGATTTTGATTATTCACGATCAATCAGTTTAATATAAAAATGGGTACCTAATTTTCAGGTAACAATGAAACGACACGTAGATTTGTGTTTTACAAATAACAGTGATTTTTATGAAAGGGGAATGTGTCCAACACATAATTCATTCACATTTGATTTATTTTCCGTTATACTTTGATACCGTACGGGCTTTTTGGCCACCCAATACTATAAAGATTTAATCGCCTTCTGTTCCTATTTCACGAGTGTACACGCACTTATAGATTCAAGTGACATTACCTGTCCATTGAGAACGGCGCTGACGAGCAGCACGCGTGCGGCGCGGTGAACCTCGACCAGCGATCCGGGAAGCGGGGCGGAGGTGCCCGGCGGCTGGAACCACACCGCCGCGCCCTCCTGCCATTCCGACGTCCCCCCAGAACCCGCCATCCTGTAACACAAACGAAAACTATTTTACCTCGAACAAAAACGAAATAATGCACTTACGTCTACCGTATAATACAAAATAAACATAATATACCTATATTTATATATTTTTTTATAACACTAAGCGACGAGACGACCAAGTCGTCAGCCTCCTGGTAAGCGTCCATATCAGTTGCATATCGAAGGGCGCTGCCACTGCGCCCGTCACCCTGAGCCATACCTAAGTTGGAAAGTCTCATGTGCCAGTAATTTCACCAGCACCCATACCCTCCAAATCCGGAACGCAGTAATGCTCACATTACTGCTTAGCGGCACAAATAGGTAAGTACTAACAAATACTTTCGCAAGGAGCTCTCATGCTGCTAAAATGTGAAATTATACTTCACCAAGGGCGGCTTTAAGCCTTCAAGTACACATACAACCCAATTAAGTATCTTATGGTGTCTTGGTGTTAATCCATGTGATTTATTCATTGACCCATTTATTGTACATTTGTTATAATTTCTTATTTAAAATTTAAAATACTGATCAATGGCGCATTACCCACGCATAGAGAGTTAATTTGCAAGAAACTAAAGATTTTAATTTTACCATCACTTTACATTTACGACATATGTTAAATAAAACCTAGGTATTTAAGGCTAAAACTGTAAAAGATCCTAGAAATATGAGAAATAAAACAGAAGTATGGCCCCTAACAACGACGTGATATTTAACTCACTCGGTGATCTAACGGTTTGCATCGTTTTCTAAGCAGGATCTGTTTTTTTAAATATCAAATGACAGGACGAACGAAGGTAACACGCCTGTCCATAACAGTTGCAGTGCCACTCAGAGCTTTAAATCGCAAAGATCTGAGGGGCACTGGCGCTGCGCCCTTCACCCTGAGACATAAATTAACAAGTCCCATGTGCCTGTAATTTTACCAAAATGTTCACCAAAAACTTTTGGTTTTAAAGTCATAAACGTACAAATGAATAAAAATATTTTTTTTAAATTCAAAGTCAAAGTCAAAAATTATTTGTTCCATAGGTAAAATAAACTTACACTTGAAAACGTCACATTTAAGCTACTGCTCGTTCACTACGCTACCTCCCTGAGAAGAACGAGCAAGAAACTCTAGGGATTGCTCTTTTCAAATAAACTTAAGTGCTATGGAACACACTTTGAATCAATTTTGTGTGGATTCTGGAGCCATGTCGTCTTTCCATACATCTTTATTTAACACGTAGGTAGTCCTCAATTTTATATTATGATTTTTCGATCAAAATATTTTTAATGTAGTTTTTAAACTTAGGAAATGATAAACTTAATATATGCTCCGGAATCTTATTGTAAAAACGTATACCCCCATAAAAGAGTTGTTTACCTTGGTTAAACGAAATCGTGGTACCATGAGTTTGGACTTTGGGTTAATATTAAAAGGTTAATATTATGGATATCTTCTTTCTTATTGAAATTATGTATATTTTTACGGGCATATAAAATATTTGAGTAAATGTACTGTGATGCCACAGTCATGATACCAGTCTCCTTAAATTTATCTCTGAGAGAAACCCGAGAGCCTAGACGGTACACAGAACGAATCGCTCGTTTTTGCAATACAAATATGGTTTGAACATCTGCCGCTTTACCCCACATGAGAATCCCGTAGGACATTATACTATGAAAGTAACTAAAGTAAACTAGTCTAGCAGTACTAACACCGGTAAGCTCACGTATTCTGCGGACTGCGTATGCAGCGGAGCTTAATCTGCTGGCCAGGGAAGATATATGTGGAAACCATTGAAGTTTACTATCTAAGGTCACTCCCAATCAGACTGCTTTAATAAGAAAGTCTAACTTTTCACCGTTTATTTCTATGCTTGGACTAGTCGATTGTACGTTAGGTAATTCAAATTTAACACTTTTTGTCTTCTTGGCATTAAGCAATAAATTGTTAGCATTAAACCAATAAACTACCTTAGAGAGAGTATCATTAATATGGTCATAGTTAATGTCATGTCTGTCTGTTTTAAAAATAAGGGATGTGTCATCAGCAAACAACACTATTTCGCAATGGTCCTTAACAAAGAATGGCAGATCATTAATATAAATCAGAAATAAGAAAGGCCCAAGTATTGAGCCCTGCGAAACACCCATTTTTACCGGAGAACCCAAAGAAGTAACACCATTTATGTCTACGTTCTGAGTTCTACCGTTGAGATATGACGAGACAAGTTTCGACGCCTTGCCATTTACACCGTAATGTTCCATCTTCCTAATAAGAGTAATATGATCAACGCAATCAAATGCCTTTGAGAGGACACAGAAAACACCAATAGCTTTCTGGGACTTTTCGCAAGCATCAAAGATGTGTTTTAATAACACTACCCCGCATCGCTAGTCGATCTACCACTAGTAAACTCGTATTGTTCACTATGAAAATTATGATTCCTACCGAAATAGGACAGTAATTGAGTCAGCATAACCTTTTCGAATATTTTACTTAAAGCTGGTAAAATTGAAATGGGCCTATAGTTGCGAGGATCAACTTTCCTACCGCTTTTGAATAAGGGAATAACCTTGCTGTATTTCATTAAATCGGGAAAAACACCTTCGTCAACGCACCTATTGAAAGCTACAGCTAAATGTGGAAAAATTAGATCAATGACTGAGTCTATAACTTTAGTTGATATGCCCCAGAGATCTTCAGTTTTTTTAACATGTATTGATTTAAAAGCTTTTATGATGTCTTGTGGATTAACATGACGGAAATTAAATAAACTGCCACAAACGTTAACATTTTCCTTTAGGAGATTAATAGCAAGTGAAGGGGAGGAATTTAATGATTCTGTAGTGTTCACAGCAATTTCCGAAAAGAACGATTCAAAAGTTTGGGCTACTTTATCTTTAGATTTTATAAGTTTTCTGTCTAATTCTAAAACTATATCTCTATCGCGTTGTTTAACCCTGCCTGACTCTTTATTTATTATGCTCCAAGTAGTTTTAGATTTATTTATCGATTGTCTAATTTTGCCGCTGTGAAACTTAATCTTAGCAGCTACACATACTTTTTTAAATATTTTTGAATAAATTGTAACATATTTTAGGAAATTGGAATTAGTATTATAAGTTTTCATAGCATATAACTCATACAAACGAGACCTACTCTTATGAATACTTACTGTTGCCCAGTCGTTGAATTTAGTCTCTCTATGGAAAGTTAATGTTTTCGATTTAAATATGTTATCAAATTCATTTTTAATTAAACTAATTATCGTATAAAGTATTTGGTACCTCCGGCATATGGGGTAGGAAATTTAAACTATTGCCGATACTATTTTGAAATCTAATGATTCGTTCTGTGGTAATCGGTCTGCAGAGAAGAATTAATTATAATAAAGAATTATTGAATGTTACGATGTTTGACCACCATGATATTCAATTATCTTTGTGAAATGACTCCACAAGTTTCTTATAATTATAAATTCGATCGGGCTGGATCCGGACCAAGTCTATCAAACAAAGTCAATAATTATACAATCACAGAAATATTTAAATGAAATCTAACAAAACCGATATTTAAGGTCACAAGAATGAGATTGCCGACGATGGTTTTCGTATGTTATACCGAATAGCGTTTCCTGATTCTTACTATTTAGTACTTCTTAATAAACAGACAATATGTCTTCAATACTTCATGTTTTCAATATTTGGTTGGACACAGGGAAAATATTTTTATTTTGTTATTGTTAACTTGTATATAACCTGGATTTCCACGAATAGGTATACGACTATTCAAAATTTATTGAAATTTGGGCGAACGTAATTGCTGTTTCCGAATTACAAAACATTAAATGAAACACTCTTTAAAATAATAATTAGTTTAATTTGTTCAATTATTAACAATGCATACTATCCATTTCACATATAAATAACAACAGCTTATTTAATAGTGACTACAACAACTAGTTTACAGGCAGACTGGATTTGGTAAAGCAGACGTTAATGGGCTGTGAGGAGCCGGTGTAGCAGGCACGCAGCAAATTTTAGGAAGAGGGGGAGGTTGGAAGCATATTGGTTGAGGCGCGGGTAGGTCGAGGCAGAAGGGTTCTAGAGGAGGAGGTTGCATATACATTGGTGGTGGCGGCGGCGGTTGCACGTATAGAGGTCCTATAGCCGGTGGTTGAAAACTAATAGGCTCGGGTGGCGGGGGTTGGACCATCATTGGGGGAAATGGTGGCACCGGTATGGTGACGGGGCTTAGAGGAGGTGGCTGTATTGTTACTGGCGCACAAGTCGGTGGTTGTACGGTCATTGGAGGTAACGGAGGAGGTTGCACAGTCATGAGGGGTAATGGAGGAGGTTGTACGCAAACGTTGCCTAGAGGAGGTGGATGAACTATTATCGGGGGAAGCTCTATTAAGAGTGGAGGTGACGGAGGTAGTTCAATCGTGAGCGGCGGGGGAAGCGGCGGGGCAACATGCATTGGGGGAGGAGTTGGTGGTGTAATTGTCATAGGAGGGGGAGGTGGAGGTGTTATATGTACTGGTGGCAGTGGCGGGGGTACTACTGTAATTGGTGGTAGCGGCGGCAGGGTGACTTGCAAAGGTGGAGAACATGGTGGCGTTATAGTTATGGGTGGCTGTTGGGGAACTTCTACTAGCAGAGGAGGTGATGCGGGCGGTGTGACGCATATAGGAGGAGGTGTAGGTAGGGAAATGTAGACCGGAGGGGGTGTAGATGGTGCGGGTGGTGCATGTAGTCCAGGTGGTGTAGGTGGAGCGTAACCATGTGAGTATGGGGAAGCGGTCATGTACTCGCACGGTGGTCCAGGGAGTGTAGGTGGAGCGCATCCATGTGAGTATAGAGAAGTTGTCATGTATTCGCACGGTGGTACAGGTGGTGTAGGTGGAGCGCATTCATGTGAGTATGGAGAAGCTGTCATGTATTCGCATGGTGGTACAGGTGGTGTAGGTGGAGCACAAACGTATGAGTATGGTGAGGTTGTCATATATTCGCACGGTGGTCTAGGTGGCGCAGCTGGAGCGCAACCGTATGAGTATGGAGAGGCTGTCACGTATTCGCACGATGCAGGGGCATAGGCATATGGCGATGGTCCTGCACAGGGATCCGGACAGTACTGGGCATTTACTGTGCACTGGAATAAAGAACAACACAAAATATGACTACTAGGTTATGGAACAATAACTATTGACAATTATTAAAAATAGTAACTTAAAATATAATACTAACGCACACACTCAACATAACGCACACACTAGGGAAAGCCTGGGTTGCGGATGCCATGGACACACACATAGACAACCACAATTTACACCCAAACTCACGAGAGAAATAAATGTAGGCCATACAGATATTTCTCCCGGCCGGGGAATCGAACCTGGGACCTCTGCATGGTAGTCCCGTGTGGTAGCCGTTCGGCCACTGAGGCAGTAGTACTAGAATTCACTTACCAAGCACAGTGCCACTACAAGGGGAATCATAGTTGAAGCCACGTCTTGTGACAGAGAACTACTTACCGATCTTCTGCGCCCTTAATTTATACATTAAACATTGCCCCAATACCACATAATGCAATAAATAAAACAATTATCTGTTTAAAGTCGCAAAGATGCAATCGCTGACATAGAAAACGAATACAAAGATAAGACACGTTAAGTTTTGTAAGAATGCGATAGAAACTTTCAGAAAGTAAAAAAATTCTGTCAAACAATCTCGCGTATAGTAATTTTTCTCTTGCGGAATTCTTGCGCACAGAGATTGTGTTCTAATGGCATTCGACGACTATCGTGGACTGAAACTACACTTTCTGTAGTTACAAGTAATTGATCTAACCATCTACCAGCACGTTTGTAAACGGACAACAAGACATTTTAGTGTTTTTTTTACACATATTTAATGGTTTCCTATTAGGTGTATTATTTGCTAAAATGAAATGGGAATAGCTGTTAGCTTCCGCGCCGTTTGATCGAAATGACCAAATGCTATTCGTTGATGAAAAAGTAGATAATTGTCCTCACCAATGATAGTGAGTGGTTCTGAAGGGGTGAGGTATATCTCAGGGTGGCGGTTGGGTAGTTGTTTACAATTAAGTTCGGTAAGTGTTACCGTTAATATAAACGATATTATTAATGAAATAGCTCTTTTGAATTATCTTTACTTCATTATTTCAAGTAATACTTATCATTTGAGAAATGCGTCATAATATAGAATTATGTTTTTTGAAATTATTACATCAAATAAAGTAGTTATCATAATATTTATTTTATTAGTAACCATAAATAAATAAATATTAGACAATATCACAAACCTTGCTCCGATCCCAAATAAGTAACTAAAAAATTTGTGTTATAGAAATCGGAAACAATGTACCACAAACACCCAGACCGAGACAATATAGAAAAATTAGTTTTCTACATTGTCCCAACCGCGGATCGAACCTGGGACCTCAGAGATGGTGACACCATGAAAACCGGCGTGTAAGCCACTTGATCACGGAGGTCGACAAATCAATATTTATTGAATATCATGACGTGTTTACTACCTCGATATTCATAATTATATTTGAAGCCGTAGAGCTCCTTGTGAAAGAGTTCGTCCAGGGTAGTACTGCCACCTTACCTATTTCTGCCGCCAAGCAGTAACGCAAGCATTACTGCGTTCCGGATTTGAACGGTATGGGGTGCTGATGAAATTACAGGCACATGAGACTTCAACATATGTATATCTCCGGGTGACGGGCGCTGTGGTAGTGCCCTTTGAGCGACAAATATTATAAAATAAAACAATAATGAAATTACGTCACAAAAAATAGTTTGTTATTATTATTGATACAAAGATGGCAAAAATACAAAGGCAAATTCCTTCGGACCGATAGGACTTGAACCAGCGTCTGTTTGCCAAACCGGGGCTACCGCTCTCCCAACTAAGCTACAGACTCGCAGATCGCGTTCTATATTGGCAACTTCACTTTTGAGTTGGTTACCTACGGGACAGGCTATGCCTAGTGTCGGAGCCAATGTAACACGCGCCGGAATAATTTAATCAATAAAATAAGTTATATTATGTTTATGATATTCTCAACTATAAACCACATTAAGAATATTTTATTTAAAATAGTAATTTAAAAATATAATAAACAAAGTTATTAATTAAATGTTATACAAATTTTATAATTTGTATAACATTTATTTTATAGTATGTAGAAAATTAATGTAAATTTTATATTAACTTATCTATTATTTTCATGCCATACTGGACCCGTTATACCTATACCTAAGCTATTGCAACATCTATGCTTACTTATGGAAACAATAAATTATTATTATATTTCCGGCAAAGATAAAATTGTAGTATCTGCATGGTAATACAACAATTATATTCATTTCTTAGTTTATCAACAATCTTCGTCTATATTTAAACCAGAAATTGACAATATATACCACTTTTAAGAACGTAATCGCGTCTACTATCTCGGAAATGGCACGTTTCACTTTTCTTAATTACGCTTCAATTTACAGTGACATAACACATTAGCGAGAATTATAAAATGTATGCCACTGGGCTATTTTTTATGTATTACATAGTAATTTTCGACTCTTCAGCATTAAAGGGTTTGTTAAAGTTATGCATTTTTTATTGACAATTAGCTATAAATATTATTATTTATAATCGAATTTCTGGCACAACATCTCCTTTTGTGTGAATTTTTTTTTAATTAAATTTGACCAACTTCTACTGTCCTAATTTTTTTCTTCCGATACAATGAAGTCATCCTTATAAGAAACTGAGTCTATTAGCATAAAAAAATTGTTAATTGTATTTCCTTGGTATTAAAAAATATTTTAAGAAATTTGACCAACATTTGCTGTCCCGATTTTTTTCGTCCCATACCTACAATGAAATAATCCCTTCATATAATAATAATAATAATAATAATAATTAATTAATTAATTAATTTTTTAGGCCTTGGGAGAGGCAAGAGTTTAAAATAAATACGATAATAATAATACATTTCTTTATTTCCTCCACAAAATTTAGATATAACCATCGAACAAATTTGATCTTATGAAATAGCAATTTGTGGATACTGGTGCCTAAGCTAGGATACCCTGTGTTTTAGGTCACCAGTCCTCCACCTTCAGTAGATTCATGAAACTGAGTCAATCAACACAAAAAAATAATTATCAATTTTATTCATTTTTATGACCAATTCACGCTTAATATGACAATTTACTTGTATCTTCTATGGTTTTGGATTTCCCCATACTGTACCATTAAAAGAAACACTCTGTATATCTTCATTGGACACCAGAACAAAATATTGATACAACGAAATAAAACATAAAGCATACAACAGGCGTAGCAATCAAGGAGAATGAAAATCCTCAAAGAGAAGCCCCCCTTAGAGCCAAAGGAGGCCGCAAATTCGGAACGGTTCAGCGGGGCGTTAATAGTTTGCGCGTACATTGCGCGCAAACGTGTGTCTTGTGTTGAATACATCCAACACAAGGTACAATGTCACACACCATCGTTCCGAATTTGCGGCCTTACAGTTTACTTATCCGCTTACGCTGTGTCCGTTACCGCGGTCTCCTCAAGTATAACCGAAAAGCTTGTAGAAGTCCTTGTCAAAACGAATCATCTGAGCCCACACACAAGTCACCTGGATTGCCATCGGAACGAAAAAAGGCGCAACTGCTGTATAAAGTGCTTATAATACTTGTGCTTTTTTTTTGTTACGACAGCAGTGTACACTGTTGAGGAGTTCCTCTCAGATCAGCTCTAGGTCACCATAACACTTTATTTACTGCCTCTGTGGCCGGACGGTTACCATGATGGTCTGCCACGCAGAGGTCCCGGGTTCGGTTCCCGGGCCGAGAGAAATATTTGTATGGCCTACATTTATTTCTTTCGTGAGTTTGGGTTTAATTTGTGGTTATCTATGTGTGTGCCCCTGGCACCCGCGACACAGGGTTTCCCTAGCGCCGAGCTAAAATAACCGCATTATTAAAATAGCTACATTGTTATTGATGTAAATTAATGTTTCATTAAACAATTTCTCAAGGCATGCCGATAAGAACCACGCTAGTAATCTCTTCCAGGTAACCTTACTAAATAAAAAGAAGAAAGAAGAAAGAAGCCGTGGTAGCCTTAACGGTTTGACGGTAGGTACCGTCTCTCAAGCAGAGGCCGCGGGTTCGAATTCGGGCTTGCACCTGTGAGTTTCTCGGAATTTAATTTGAAATTTATCAGTTGCCGACCGATTCGATTTGATATCGTACGATTTCTTTGCATTTTTATTCACAACACCCGAATCGAACGTCAAACTGTACGAAACCGTACGATTACTCGAACTTCTCGACCGGCAAAGACTACAAATGTTATTCAGAACACAGTTATCGAATGAAAGTTACCGAACGTCGTATTGTTTATAAAGCAAGAGTCACTAATAAGAGTATGGAAATCACTTATTATTTTAAATAAAGTCTGGATTTTGTTTAATTTTATTAATTTATTTTAATACAAGACTAATGCATTCCCGTATTTCAGGGCTTTAAAGTCTTAAAAATGTATATAAAAGGGTTTTCATTTTTCTTATAATCTATTTCACCGACTAACTTCGTAAACGCTGTTGGATAACGATATCGTATCCGAAGCGAATATTTTTTGCAGTTTGAAGCGAGTTCTGAATCGGGGTCCTGACCTTTTCGGAAAACATCCAGATGAACCGTGCACGTCGAGGAAGGTTCACAATTCACGGAAAACGTGTGAAGTGCCAAACCCATACCCAGCAATGGAAAGTATAAATTGGGTTAATAATAATTTAAAAAAGACAGGCGGTCTTGCGAGCGTTATTTTTGATAAATCACTCTCACTTTGAACCACTAACTAATGATAATCAATGTAAAATGGTTTTGTATTTGCATCTCATTGCAAAAACATCTCTATAATAGTATATATTTATCAGGAAAGCCACAATAAGCGTAAAAACCCATTTATGTGAACAGTAAAAATCTGCTTAATCAAGTGCTGCGTACGAGGTTCAGTCGACACGCTCGTCTTGATGTCAAGTTCAGTTCATTTGAATGCGCGCTAAAATCGCATACGGAATTGGTACGTTGACAGGGTTGCCATGAAACTCTTTTTTCGTCCGTTTTTAGTAAAAATACAAAACCAATTATCTAGAAATTCATAGGGGTGTTACATTTTTTTTATTAATTACATTACAAACGAAATTAAATAAAATTTGATTCAATTGGTAATTATAAAAACCAATAAAAAAATAAATACTTAAATACATAAACTAACAAAAAAAAAGAGCTGCGCATTCTAACTGCCGCTCTAACGGGTCGTGGTCCATATAATAAACACCTTTTCAATCTAGGTACTCGTATCACGGACAGCCTGCTATGCAGAGCGTGTATGGAGGAAGAGGAAACGGCCGCGCACATTCTGCTACAATGCTCCAGCGTGGCCAACT